TGTTCGGTTGGTACGTAATCCACATGACTCATAGGGTGGATTATCGATTCTTGTGTTCTGCATTAAACTATTTATAGTTTAAGGGCCTGGTTAGAAATGTTGCCTTAGACTAGGAATAGCTAAGAGCTTGTTATAAAATGATTTGGCCTTAGATTAAGAATAATTTAAGAGCATGGTTGAGATATTGAATATCAAATGACTTGGAATAAAATAATGAGAAGATCATGAATGTTTGAATCATATATTGTGTGCATGATATCAAATGGTTGATTATGAATTGAGATTCAATTTATTTTGATCTTCGACGCTTTAGATATGCTTACTCAGCTTCATCCCTGAGCGTGTAGTATGTTTTATTTGCTACACGCAGGTAAACAGAAAGATTAATGTGATCCTGGCGGCAGATGGGGCGAGATTGTCAGGATGGATGTGACAAGTTTTGAAATGATTTATGATATGTCAATATTAAATTCGCTTCCGCAATATTGTAAAATACTCCGTACTGCATATGTTGTTAAAAATATTATTGAGATTAATAAAGTGTGTTTGAAAAGTTTTAAATTTTACGATTACCAAGTTAAATACTTTAGTCCGAATGGGGCTGTAGACCTGGACGGATTAGGGTGTTACAAATCCTCTTTCCACTCGAGCACCGACGAGACTCCGTTTCGACAGCCTCGTCCACGCCGCCAACCAAGAGCCACTGCCTCAACCGCCACCACTTCGACCAATCCTTCTCTCGCTGAGCAAATGGCAGCCTTAACCGCCACTCTCTCTCGGATTGACACCAACGTCTCCAAAACGGCACACAACGTCAATACCTTGAGCCGTGAACTTCATGGGTATTTTGACTTTGTCAATTACCCGTACGCTCAAATGGTCCCTTACGTTCCTCCACCGAATTTCGGAGGTGAACAAAGTGGGACTCAAAACGTTGGTAGAGATGACGAGGTGGACGATGAGAAAGAAGAAGAAGAAGAGGAAGAAGAAGCCGATGATGATGATGATGGCGACGATGACGAAGATGATGAAGAAGAAGAAGAAGACATTGACGAAGAACAACTTCTCAATGATCTTTCCCTGGATTTCTAGAGCTCTAGCTCTACTTTCTTCTCTTCCTTATTTTATCATCTTTTAATATGCTTTCGTTATGTACTCCGCTATTTCCCTTAATTAATTAATAAAAATCTTTATGATTTTTGTTGTTAACAATCTTTTTGTTAATGTCAAAAGGGGGAAGATAAGGGCTATGCATACATTAAGGGGGAATTTTTTTTAAGGGGGATTTTCTTTGAAAAAGATCAAAACCCTATGCATATCCCCGTCTTGTTTGCCATTATCAAAAAGGGGGAAATTGTTGGAACACACTTTGTACGATAAACTAAAGTCGTGATCATTTCTGACAGGTTTTGATAATTGCCAAACCACCGTGGATATAAAGAGTTTTGTTGAATAACTCAAGGCGTGAAGAATGGCTTGGAACAAGACCTAAAAGACTCAAGGACAAGATCAAGAATTGAAGACTTAGTCGAGTCGATCTTTTGTGATCAAAACCGACAATAAATTCAAGTCTCGGTTCTCAAAAAGTCAAAACAATTTTTACAAATCATAAAATATTTTTTGTGCATCAAAACAAACATTTTTGATGATTCCTTTTATTGTGATCAAAACCGGCGTTCGGCTTTCGGCGTTCGGTTTTTGGCGCCTGAACCAACTCCGTGGTTTTCAATATTTTAAACCCTGTTTTTACGTCTGAGCATTTTTAAAATGTTCCCAAATAATTATTTTATAAAAACCACTTTTGTATCTTGGTCAATCGGTCTAACACGTGAAAAACGGTCTAAACCGTATGCACGTATTATACGACCTTGGAGACTTGAGTTTTACCAAACAAGTCTTGTTTTCACTATTTTATACCATATAAAATATTTTCCAAACCTGGTTTTTACTTTTTGGGAACACTTCGTTTTTTGGACCTCGGTTTTTCAAAACGGGTTTCAGCTGGCTAGACTTTAGCTAGGTGATAATCGATTATCACCTTAGTGACAATCGACTATCAGCCCCTGCAGCTTTGAACTTCCAAAGTTCTGAAGCACGCCATAATCGATTATCACTTATGCAATAATCGATTATCAGTCTTTGCAGCCAAAATCCAGAATCTTCTGAGAGGACCAATAATCGATTAACACTTGTTGACAATCGATTATCTGGGTAACCGTTGTCCTCCAACGGATAGAATTTTCAATTTTTGGACAAGGAATCTTTGGATAATCGATTATCAAGCTTTGATAATCGACTATCAGCCTGTGTCCCTGAAAAATTTGTCTTCATCCTGTTGGAAATTCTAGCAACGGGTTTATCCCATTTTGGGCTATAAAATGGCACCCAAATCCTCTCATTTTACACACAATTCTTCAACATTTCAATACTCCTTCATTGCATAAGCATTCCTATTTTTCTTAGCTATTTGAGAGCCAATTCTTGAAGAAATTGTCGTGTTCTTGAG